TTAATGTTTCTTTTGGACACCTTTTTTATGACTCTTAGTGTGGTTGTCTTATTCTTAAAGTAGGCTATACATACATGCATACCAAAAATATGATAATTTCGGTGTGTATTTTTGTCCTTACCCTTAATGTTAAAGGAAAGAAGGGAGGAAAATGTTGACAATCATTTATATATCTGGCTACCTTTCTCATGTTTTTAAGGTTTCCCAAAACCGAAGAGAGGAGGAGGCAGTGGGAACTCGCCCTAAGAAGGGACGGTTTTGTTTCCTGTGACAGGACAGTAACAGTTTGACCCGTTGTTGTGCATATCATTTTACTTACTTGCAGTTACAAATAAACCGCTGGTAACACATACCAATTCTACTCTGGTCGTGTCGTTTCCCTTTGTACCCCTCGCCAAGAGGGAACGTAACAACATGTGTTACGTGCCGTAGTGGGTGCTTGTGTGTCTCCCTCTCTTTCCCCCTGATGTTTCTTCTTCTTCTTTGTTTAATGGCGAATCGCTACCACTAAGAGCATATATCGCCACCTAGCATCTGTTCCATGAGACGCAGCACTATGTTCCCCACATATGTTTATGTTTGCTCAGTCTAATAAACCCATAACATGGTTGTGAAAGAATACCAAAGCTGAGGCTGGACGATGATTGATTGTTGGTGTGACATGTGTCACCGTGTGTCTTATTGGTTTTGTGTTATACTGTATTTTATTGTGTGCAGCTGGTCCTTATCTCCAAGACACATTTAAAACAAATAACCTTGAACCTTGAAGCCCCATCTCTCCCCACCTGCTCCTGCTTCCTATATCCCCTCCACACCACACCAAGTTGTTCTTCTTAATAATAATAATAATACATTTATTTTGGGAGGCCGCCTTTCCCAAGGACCCAAGGACACCTTACAGGGGCATAGGGGCAATATAGGGAACAATTTAAACAGTGGATTTTGTGATATATCAGCCGGGGTGAGACAAGACAAACCACAAATGGACTACAGAAGGACACAAAAGGACACATGGTACAGTTTATATTATTCTTGGTCTTTTTTCAATAACATATTTCAAAGGTTCTGGATTTGTTTACAAATCTAGAAACTAAATACAAAACTAGTATAGTAATATGAAGATCTCATGTCAAAAATAATTGTGATAAATTAGACAGAACTGGCCTGTCTGTGAGCACATTTTATGTTGGTTTGGTTCTTCTGATAAAGGTGTGAATATCTAAATAATATACCATGCTATTGTCATTAGTTGTGTCCGTTCTTAAAGCTAAGGCATTGCTAAATTAACAACTCTTGGCTTACAGAGTGGTAACATGAGACCGATTTGTATATATAAAATATAAATGTATTTTAATTTTATAATTTATTTTAAATATTAACAATATAATACAATAAATGGAAATATATACACCGGCAAATATTTAATATAAATACCTTGTGTGTGTGTGTATAGCTATTGCTTTATCTGATTAATGTTATTTTCATATGAAAGTCCATGATTATAAGTATGCAGTATCATAACTACATCTTTGATGTTTATAAAAAACCAAACCGTTTGAAAATTGGTTGAAAATTGAGCAAGCTATGGTTATTTAAATAGTAAACCATAATGTTATGAATGAGAGAACTCCCTGTAGCAAGATGGCGGCCAAGTGGCAACGTCGGTCTCCATTGGCCAGCAGCGCGGGTGAGTCATCTAGTGCAGGCATCCTCAAACTACGGACTCCGGTCCGGATCCGGACCGAACCACCACTGTCTCCGGACTCTGAGCAAATTATACTTTTCATATGTATTATCTCTCTGTATTATATGTGAGACATCGCCACAACGCATTCGCAACGAGTCAAAATTCTCCGCTATGTCCACTGCAAACAGCGCTCTGCATGTCTGACTGTTCCACTGTGTTCCACCTGTGTTTGTCAACGCTTTGGTCCAATCATATTCAGCAACCAGTCTGCGTTTTTTCCCCCCAAACAATCTGCGAATCAGAGGCACAGTAGGGCGGGTCTTCGCGGACTGCGGGTGGGAAAAATGTGTGTGTCTCTTTCAACCTGTCTAAGTCAGAGCGAGAATTTAAAAAAAAAAATTCAGAGCGAGAGTTAACAACTCATCTAGTTCCATCTGTACTGTAGCTAGTAGCCTAGTTTCACCTACCGGGGTGGCAACTGACACCCTAAAAATAGGCCTTGCCACCCCAGCTGCCACCCCAGTTGGCAGCTTTGTTTTGAAAGAAAAGTTGTGGCTCATCGGACATTTATGAGAGAAAGTCTCTAATGTCCGAGTGCAAGTGAATGCAGCACAAGATGCACGTCATGTAACCCCTCCCCCGGCCCTGGCACGAGCGTGGACATACGATTGGCGGCGATTTCATTTTGAACTGGACGGCGCAAAACGAGAAGCATTCGGACCCAAGCGCTGAAGGAATGAGGTATTTGCGGTCTACAATGACAGAGAAGAGACTGTCAGTTTGGCTGTACTCAGCATTGAATCAAAACGCACTGAAGCTGTTGATCTTAATACGTTTGTGAGGCGTTTTGCTGAACAAAATGGTAATCGCCGCATTCAGCTGTAATAGACATGCCAACTTGATGCTCTGCTCACGGATGAGCATACACAACTATTAAGATGATGACCTTACGTGTGTAAATATATTTTTTTCTTTGAGGGGGTCTGCCCCCAAAAAACTGTTTTAAGTCCTGAGAAAGTCAAATAAGACGGTGTGTAAAACTACACTGCCCAGCCAAAAAAAAGTAACCACTTTGATTGAACTAGGCCAGTAGGTAAGGACTTTCCACTGGATAATAACTGAAGTATAAAAGAATGCATGACTGAAGTGATGGAGACCATGTTGAAGGCAAACAAAAGAGGAAATAACAGGTCAAATCAAGCAAATCCCCCTCTCAGATTCCACAGCAACCAGAAGAACATAAATACTGGCTGGTGATTTGATTCATCAGCTTTGTGATGGAATAAAAAATGCACAGTGCATTTCCTTAGCTGTGGGTGAGTCCACTGACACCACTGACAATGCTCAGTTGCTGGTGTTTGTGAGTTGTTATGATGAGGCAAAGGGGGAGTTTGTTGAAGATGTGTTGGGCCTGACAAACCTCAGTGGACACACAAGGGGGAATACATTTATAAAGCAATAATGGGAATGCTGAATGAAAGAGGGTGCAGCTGCCTTTATTCATAACTGTGCAGCTCTGCGACTCTGAGGGGTCAAGCACAGACACAATAACAATGAAAACTGCTGCATACAGATTATTTTTGTTTTTGCAACCTCGTGTTAAGAATCTTGTTGCAATTGTTTAAAAGTTTGAATGACCGTAATAAACGGACCTTTGTCTTATTGAAACATTTATTTTGGACCTTTAAGATTTGTATTTGAGTACCCCTGATCTAGTGTTTATATATATCTATGGAAATCACGCTCCATTTAAGGCGGGGCCTCACATATGACGCACACCTGCACACCTGTTAGCCTGTTCCACAATTCTTCGTTTTCCGAGGCTAGGAAGGATTCTTGCCTCGAAGCAAGTGACTCGGAAGACATGTGCTACCAAGCAAGCGTCCTCGACATTGAGAAACCAACCCGGTATCATCACATGTGACGATTTACCATGCTGGGAGACGTGAAGATGTCACGATTTCGTCCCTTCAAACGTGAGTTACACGGTATTGTTAACCCATGTTAACCAGTGGAGAAATAACCGGAAATGCCAAGCAAATGCTACCCCGACGAAATTATTTATTTTTTAATAGTCACACTCGATTACGCCGATTTTCTTGTTGCCCCAGCTTGGTCGACACCTATTTTAGCAGAAACAAAGGCTACATTCATGTATTAAATCGATGTGTGTGGATGTGGAACCGGAAACAGACATAGGCAAGATCCTCAGCTCGATGATTGGATGGTTTAGCCGCAATGCATGCTGGGATTTGGTGTTTATGTGATGTGAAATCTGAAAACATTTTTAAAAAATAAAATAATACTTTATTCCGAGTGTGCTTGCTTTTCTCTTTGAAAGTCATCACATAATGGCATTATAATACACGGTTCGGCTGCATTAAATATTACATATCTGCCGTAGTTCTCTATTTATAGAGCCCTGATGAGAAGACTTCTGGACAAACAGGAGAACTGCCGCCAAAACTGAATACGTGACGTGGATCATAAATATATAAGTAATTAAACAACATCTTACATTTCTTTTCACACAATACATCTCCTTGCAGTATCAACACTAATTCGGCTGACTTTTATATTTGATCCAATTGGTAGATAGGCTGTATTTACACCATAACGGTGCAGAGCTGATCGAAAGGGACACCTGGTGGTTAAAGCACGTTATTGAATTGTATTATTTTATTATTAGATATTAATAGGATCCCTATAAAGTATATTCATCTCTCTAGGGCTCTGCACCAGACCATCCTCCGGTGAAATCCTCAGACACTCGCCCCGCCCCCTTACTGTGTATCGCTCACTGATTGGAGGATGCAGCGCATGCACTGATCTGTTAATTATTGACATGAGAGCAGTTTCCCAGCGGAGTGAAGAAAACATGAAACTCACGGGAGTCACAACTCAGTTTATACAGTGTTTTGTTTCAATTAATGTATCATTCAGTTACAAATATGTGATATATCTGAACAACAAAGTGGTCAAAAATCATTTTATTCATTTATTGGAAACATTTTCATGATCGCTTTTTTCGTTTTACATTTTCATTTGTTGTCATTTCCTTTCAGTCAGTCATTAAGTGCTATTAAAATGTTAATTTGCTACATTTTCCACACAAACAAACAAAGTGTGCAGTCCAATGAATGTTAATCTAACTGGGTTTTGATAGATAACATATCTCTTTTTCTTCTCTCAATTATTTTATTTCTATTGTGCACTCTAATCAATATTAATCTAACTAATAGTTTATTTATACATTTTAAGAATGGCGTTTATCTTTTTTGAATGAGTTCTTATTTTATTGTATTTATTTGGGTCTACAACAGATGATACAAATGTTTGTGTCGGTAAATGTGTGGCGGGGGTGTTTGTGAAAAGCACTGCTCTGCTTCTCAAAGTGTGGTCCTTGGTATGAAAACGTTTGAGAAACACTGCTCTAGAGTAGAACATTGAAACAAATATAACACTGGTTAGTTATATTTACATAATTAGAAAAGCTACAATTTCACTCAGATGTTTTTAAATTCAGAATATCAGTTGTGATAGGAATTTATTGTTAAATATGTTTAGATCCAGTAATGTTTTTCTCATAACCCCCTAGTAGCCAGATAGTGCTGTCCCAGGAATGATGCATCTTGATAGGCGTTCTGATTGTAAGGCTTCCAGTTGTTAGCATCTTTGGCTGCATTAAACATTGCATGCTTTAAAAAACACTTTTAGTAAGTAGCTACTGCAGCTTCCAAGAATTGTGGGTCAACATAGTGAGAAAATTATGCTGACTTTTCGGCTTACTGCTTTTTACTTTTTATATATTGTGGACAATGGACATGCTACATTTGTTTGTGTCATACTCCATAGTATGTTAGTCTGGGTATTGGAACATACAGATTGTTTGAGTCTCAATCAGTTGTTGCGTTTGTCTCAAGATCCTGGGTCCAACTGTCTGTCAACTCACATTCATCCAGCAGACTAAATAGTAACTGCTCCTCAATAAGGTCCGGTGACTCAATCTGCAAAAAGACACAAACATAATGTGTGATTTTAAAAATATATGATTTGAGATCATAAGGCAAGGCAAGGCAAGTTTATGTATATAGCACATTTCAACACAAGGCAATTCAAAGTGCTTTACAAAAATGAAAGACATTAAGAGCATTAAGAAACATATTATGAAATGACATTTAGAAACACTCATTTAAAAGCAACAATATAAAATGGCTTTTAAAAACACTCATTTAAAAGCAAAGATACATGAATAAAAGTTACAGTGCAGTGTGAGATACACACATCAGAAATGTTTAGGTCTGACTCTCAATCATTGCTAACTTTTTAGCAGCAATAGTTTTCTATCACCTCCCTTTCTTTCTACTTTCTTGTTTAACTTGTCCTTTAGTTATTTCAAGTGTTTCATGCTAAGGTAAAAAAACGAAATCTGTACAAAGCGCACTGTTCTTTTATGACCAATCAGACACATGCAGCAGACCTCTGGCAGCATCAGGGTCATATATTATTACAGAAGTGACAATAGAATATATTTCATAATACATGTCATCAGTGGCGGCCGGCCCGTAGGGGCGCTAGGGGCGCCGCCCCCCCTCTTCCCACATTAAATATATATATTAAAAAATTTTTTTTTTTTTTAATAAACAAGGTAAATATTATATAATTGGTATCAGTAAAATGTATAATCTACAATAACATCTCGTTTAAAATTGTGTTACGATGTCTAAAGTTACTGATAAGTCACATAAGTTTCCTGCCTGGCCTTGCCCGTGTATCATTACCCTCTCTCGTCTGGGCGCTATGCACAGCGCCCAGACGAGAGAGCAGCAAGTGCAGCAGAAGCCAACTGTTGCTATCTTTAAACTATGCCGCCAAAACATAATTTCAGCCAATCAGCGTCGTCAAATCTGATGGTCACAGGGCGCCTACGTCAGCGCCCGGTGCAGTCTGTGAGTTGTTTGGACTCGTATCCAAGGAGACAAAACAGGAAGCTGTCATACACTCTGGAAGCTATCATTAGCAGCTAATATGAAAACTCAGTTTTTGACATAAAAATTGAATTATGGAGTATCAATAATTTTTTCAAAGTGACAGACACATTGGATTAACCTATGGATTAACCTTCAGCCGCGTTAGCATTTTTTCGCTCAGGGCTCATTTAGACGCTTCTTGTGAGACTTGTGTTTTGTTTCGGTAAACATGGTTCATATCATCAGTTAGCTGAGTTTCTTCCCGTTAAATGAGTAGGACACATGAATAGTTTATTACATTTTAAGAAGCCCTGAGACACAGTTTAGTGAGAAAATAAACGGGGGGGAAAAGCCCCTTAACAGGTTAAATGAGAATTAAATCATTTTAAGTAATTTTGAGTGTTCCCAAAGCCCCGGTGTTCTGCAGTTTGTGTGGGCCCACTGTACTGTTGCACAGTTTATACTGTAGAAACTATGTCCTGGACAAGGTGTTTGGAAGTTTTGGAAGATTCATAGCTAACCACACTGAAGATTATGGAGGTATTGATCAGTCTTCTCATATTTTTAAGCCTCAATTTGTCCTCCCCCCCCCTCTAACATCACCAGAAGTCATAATTTAAGGGGTCTTTTCTCAATTATTTTTATACTCAGTTATTGACATATACAGACAATGTGTTTGAATGTATGACCTGTAATAACAGTGGCAGTTCATATCTATTTCCTTGCTCCTCCCTTGTGCCTAGTTGGAAGCCGTTCGGGGATAAACACTTCCAGTTGGAAATAACTTTTGTTTTTCTTCTGATAAGTCCGACTCCTCACAGGCAGCCTTAAGGGAGGGCATGTGAGTTCAAGGAGAAAAGCCAAACTTCTTAAAGTAGGTAACGAGGGGGAAAGAATGTCACTATTTGAATAAATATCAATATCTATCCATGTGATGGGACTGATGTATTATCTGGCAGACTGTTATATCTAATTATTATCGGTTTGTAAACTTAAATTCCTTTTCCATAATAACAAGTTAGACATGACTAATTCACCTGTAAACATATGCTTATTGAGAGTTGGCATCTCTTGGTATATGAATGCTTTACTTTGTTTAGACAGCTGCAACCCAACAGTGAGTTTGTTCCAGAATCATCAACCCATATTCACTCATGACATGAGCATTATATCTAAAAACGTATCCAGGAATCACCGAGTCCAATCATAATCGTCATCATTCTCTCAGCATGTGCATTCGTGTTTCTAGCTGTCATCACTGAACAGAATGTCCCATGGCCTTAAGGAAGAGAAGTCCTATTCCAGTTATTTTGTCTTAAGTCTTGCATATCCAGACCTATCTCTTAACTTGGCCTTTCTCGTGCCAGGGCTGGAGAAAGGTCTAGCCAAGATTTTTCCAGGCCTAATTTGAGGAGTAGGTGTTACCATCCTGATCATGTGCACTCACGTACGTGTACAAGCCTGGACCATGTTCAGTCAATGTTCTAAATTGTGGCCAAATTGTTACACACAACTCAGTGGCAGTATGAGGACCCCTGAATATCACATTTAATTTAATTTTCTGTTTTGGTTTCCGGTTAGTCATGTCACAATATCAGATACTGAAGTAAGTCGATGCAAAGTTGGGAAAACGTGCTGTGTGGTTCTTCTACAGTATACATTAGTGTTGGCAAACTATGTTTCCAAGTGTAGTTTAGCTCTGTTTTGATCAACAACTCCTGAGGGAGATATCTGGCTCTCTAGCTGCTAATTGACAATTCTGGGTTCTTGCTGGGTATGTAAAACTGCTGCCCGCTGCAGCTGTGCTAAGTTACCTTAGCAAATAGACACGAAGCAGAGTGAAAGAGCTAAATAACATTATCTTTTGTATTAATTTAACAAACATGATATGATGTTACAAAGGAATGAAATTAGCGCCTGACAAATACAGGGTTTATGTTTGCTGTGAAAGGTACCAATTTTACTTTACCTGCAACCATGGCTTAGGCAGGGGTGCACATGACCTTTTGCCCTGGTTCTCAAAGTAGCACCTGGAGATGTTGCTTGGTGCGCATCCTTACAATTAAATAAACCGGACCTTCTGAGGGGTACTTGACTTTATGAACGGGGGGAGGTGCGCTAGTGAGCACGCTCATGAACTGTTCGCTGTTCCCTGTATGCCTCGCAGCAGGGTTACTGTGCGGAGCGCATAAAGCAGACCCTTCACGCGATAGCAAGGGGTAGAGCGAGGGATCGCAGATGCCGTCATGCTTGTGGACGGATTAAAAAAATTAAACCTAAATGGCTCGCGAATTATACTTTGGCGGCCGTTAATATACCTGGGCGGCCCGCCCAAGTAAAGTCTCTGTGTGGGAAACCCTGCTATTTTACCAGTTCTTATGCAACTCGCAAATATCTCTCTCTCTCTCTCTTCTCTATCTCTCTCTCTTCTACGCCGGGATCCGGAGTCGAGGCTGATCCTCTTGCTGTAGTCCTGTGTCTTGAATCCTCTATCATGAGTTCTGGATTAAGTCGTGGAATTCGGGTCGTGGCTGAACCTGTCTCTGCGGTCCTGCCTTGTGTCTCGTCATGCTGCTTCCCTGATGGCTTCCACAGGATTGTAGCTGACATCCTCGTGGATTCATCTTCTTATTACAGACACATGCATTTCCTAACATTCGGTCTATATGCTGTAACATGTATTATCTCTTCGATTTACACACGGCATCTATTGCACGTCTGTCTGTCCTGGGAGAGGGATCCCTCCTCTGTTGCTCTCCCTGAGGTTTCTCCCATTTTTTCCCCTTAAACTGTGGGTTTTCTCATGGAAGTTTTTCCTTGTACGATGTGAGGGTCTAAGGATAGAGAGGGTGTCGTTTTTCTCATACTGATATTCTGAACAATCTGTGCTGTTGTATTTGCTGTAAAGTGTCTCTACTGTAGGCTATTTTTATTATATGTAGGCCTACAGCACTTTGGCTCGACCAAAAATCGTTTATAAATGTGCTATATAAATCAAACTTGATTTGATTTGATCTTCTCTCTCTCTCTCCTCTCTCTCTCTCTCTCTCTCTCTCTCTCTCTCTCTCTCTCTCTCCTCTCTCTCTCTCTCTCTCTCTCCTCTCTCTCTCTCATCTCTATCTCTCTCTCACATTTTTAAGAGCAATCCCTATATTTAGAATTGTCAGGGATTAAGGTTACAAAATATAATCTATATTTCTACTCAATGGTACCACTGAATGAATAGAGTGGCCAGTAGAAATGTTTAATGACCTGCCACAGAAGGAGGTTAGAAAACATCTTAATTTCTAATCCTGCATGTTAATTAATTGATGGCTTTAGAGGTGCTGGTTGGTGGATTTAGTTAGCTTTGACAGAATCAGGCTGGTTGGTTAACCCCCTTTTCCAGATGTATTGCTAAATAAGCAACTGGATGTAATGGTATTGATCTGCACATCTAATTCTCTACAAGAAAGTTTACAATCATATTTACCTTAATGTGTCATTATTAATTTTATATTAAAGTATTACAAATGCAGTTTTGAAATAAACTACTATAGTAGTTTATTTCAAAACTGCATTTTTAATTTTAATTTTAATATATATATGAGCTAATACACTGTTTTTGGGCGTCGGTGCAGGCTGATCTCAGCCACTCTGTCCTGGGACAGAGGGAATACGTATTATGCCCATGCAGTTATTTTCACCTCTTCCCCACATCACTCGAAACAAAATCACATTCCTGTCGCTCAACTATTCCCACTAGCTGCAGCTAATACTTTTCATCGATCATCTGTATTCCTCCTCCAGACCGCCCTCTGAGACTTTCCAGTCTCCAGCCCCTCGTACCTGACAGACAACTCTCACAGACAAATCCTTTCCATGTTCAAAGCCCTTCTGCATGTACAGTAATGACACCCTGAAGGTCATGACAGGTTGGGCCATGTTACTCTTTAATGACCTATGGACAGAAGACCACATCTTGAATACACTACAATCAACACTCCACTAACAGAAAAACATATTTAGCTTGCAACTGTAACATACATTTCCCACAA